CGAAGAGAATGGCTATATTTGTGTAGGTTTTGATGTATTTTTAAATGTTGTACATAGAAAAGTAGAAACAAAATATAGCAGAAAAAAGGCAGAGGAATAAGTTATTTATATAATAAAATGCAGAAAAAGAGATATATAAATGTATAGAAAATAGAGAGAGAGAGAGAAAGAGCAATTGGAATATGCGATATTGTATTCTTTGAGTTCGTATTCTTCCCTGTTCGTTTTGAATATAGTGAAGAGTACCGTTTGTAACTATACACCACCACACAACGAATGTGCCGCAACCGAAATGATTGGAAACATTCGGTGGAAACAAACACTAAATCGCATGCACACATTCACATATAGACACAGACTATCCATCCGTAATATTTAAGAATTTGTGGAGAATGTGCACACGATGAATATATAATTTTTTTTGCCTCTTTATATTCGTGTGTTTTTTTAACTCTCTGCTATTTTTCTTCTTCTCAGCTAATAAAATATATTTTTCGTTGTGATTGTATTGGCCTGTGTTGTGTGTCTGAATGCCAATCCGATATATATATATATTGTGTTGGAAAAAGTGGATGTGAAAACGAGAGCGTGGAGCAAAAACAACCACTGTGTCTCTCTCTCTACAAATATATATAATCATTGTCGATGCAATTTTTCTTGCGTTTTACAGAAAATACACACAGGGAAGCAAAGCGGTTTCTTTTTCTTATCGCTTTGGCACTGGCTTACGTCTCGCTAATGTATTGGCGTCCTCTTATTACTCCTCTCCTCTCTCACTCTCCCTCTCTTTCTCTGAGTGTTTATAAATTGTGTTTTGTTAGAATATACACGGAGCAAGCATTGCGTGTGCTGGTCGGTTGGTTGGTCGTCCGATTGGTCTTAATGTTCCCTCACAGAGAAAAAGAAATGTTTTCGATCCAGCTTTCGTATTTCCGTTCGCTACTAGTATATGTATATATATAATACAATGAATGAGAGCGAGAAAACGAGTGGTGGTAGAAAAGTAACAAAACGGAGCACTGTGGTAGGAGAGATGAGTGTGTGTGTGTTTAGTAAGAAGGGCATTTATATCTGCAACGGGGGTAAAAGACATCGTTTCAAGCGTATTTTTCTCTCCCTCATTTCATTCACTGTGTGTCATTCCATCTCGTTTCCCACTTCGGCTCTTCGCTTCGGTGCAAACTCTTTTGGCCGTGCTCAATTTCTTTTCGCCTCTGGTTTTTTTTTTTTGTTATATTTTCATTCCTCTCCGTTCTCGTGCGCATTTTTTTCCGCTTTTTCTCATTTCGCCTTTTGTTGTTCTGACATGCTTGCACCGCTCCATGTTATATGTTTGTGTGAGCGCGCTTGTTGTCTTCGGCTTTCTTTGGATCGTACCGAGAAATACGGAGCAGGAAAAAAACCCCGATGTATATATATACAAATTTATAAAAATATAACTGAACTCTCTCGCTCACAACATTTATGAATGCTTTACAGGACTTTCGTTCCGCTTGCTCTTTCTCCTCGCTGTTGTTGTCGTCGTCGTCGTAGTCGACTTTTCGTATGCAACTGTAAATGCTTGCTTTTGTGAAAACGACCACCGATTTCGAAAGCGTTTTCACTGAATCGTCATCGTCGTCGTCATCGTACGTCTTCTTCGTATCATACGCTTTTGATAATTGTGTGCGATTGTGCCTGTTTTTCATTGCATTTCATTTCTTTGTATGGTTTTTTTTTCTCAAATCTCTCGGTGAGTGCAAGCAGCAGCAGCAACACCAGTGGCGGCAACGGCAACGCGCCTCTATATGTATTGTATAGAGCCCGAGTAAGCGAAACGACGTTTTTTCCTCGACCAAAATTAATGACTTTTTTTCCAACTCCGGTTCTCTTCTACACACACACACACTTATATATATAATTATATACAACGAGGAAAAAAAACAAGCAGAAGAAATTTTTGTGTTGCGGAGTGAGTAGTAGCAGCAACTCACCGAATCACACGACGACGTTATAGAGAGTACTGAAGAGCATAAAAAAGAAGTGTATCTAAAGAATAAGTTGAATGTCGTTGAATAAATTTAACAGAAGGGTTAACGCTGCCATCCTGAAAGGACGTATTGAGTTTTCCGATAAAAGTTTTAGTCGTTGAATCATTACTACCTACCTAAGAAGCACATTCAATATAAGACTGTCAATGAGAAACGACACTTCGCATTCGTTCGTTTCAGATTTTCTTATTAGACACACAATAAGAGTTTTTTTTCTCTCGTCTAACTGTGTCAAATATCCAATTCGATTTTAACGTTAAATGAGAAAAAAATTGAAAAACATTTTTTGAATTTTTTTTTTTGTGTGCAAACTTCCAGTGAGATGATGACGATGACAACCATTTTTGATTGAATGTTTTTTGAAAAAAAAAAAAGAAAATTCTTCGATTAATTGATATAGTGAATTTCAAGTACAAATGAGAGACAAACAAAAAACATTGAACTTGGATTTATTTAGTGAACTAGAAAACTGAAAACGATTCTAATTTTTTTTTGGTGGTTGATCTTAAAATATACTAATATTTAGAGACAAAATGAAAGACAATTTATTCGAAAATCACCCCCGAAAAACATTGAAGAATTCGATAAATGTGTTAATCGAAAGTTAAACAAATGTTGAAATGTGATCAATTTTTCTATTAAACTTAAACTATGATGCTCTTAATTGCATAGTAAATAAATAAAAAATAAAAACTTTATTTTGAAAGTTGTACGGCGATACTATGTTAATCACACAAATGTATATGAATGCTAAGTTTAAATAAGTGAACTGTAAATTAATATCGTTAACAAGATGCAAGAAAGTAGGAAATGCAAAAATTTTCGGTGCATCTTTAAATTGATTTGAATGACTTTTTAGTGATATTGTCAATGATGCAAAATGACTGTTTAATTCAGAAAACTTTAGCAGAAAATTCAATTTAAAAAAAAAACACCCATCAATAAAATAAAAGATTTTCTGTGAAGCGAATGTTGTAAAAGTGAAGTATATTGATACGGGGAGGGCTAAAGATAAAGAAAACAAATCGTCAGGATTCACGATCGATTTACAGCCAAAATCAAGATAATTAGTAACACACAGAGAAGCGGTAGCCGGCACAAAGATGACAGTCGACAACGAGGACAGTGCATTCGACGATGAAAATGTAAATTTTCTCATTCTATCTGGAATTTTTGTGATAAGTTTAATGTCAAATCAATGCAATAATTGAGTTAAGCCCATGCATAATGCATCCTTGATATAGAGAGGATACATGTGTGTGTACATATTTATATTGTACTATGGACAAGTTGCATGTGCAACGCAAGTTCGCAAATGGATGCACATTTGCATTAAACAATTTTATTGAAATTATGTTGATATTATAACATCGAATAGGAACAGAATGTTAGAAACAACAACAATCATTGAGCATTCGCTCAAAGATTAATCGAACATTAAATGTCAACATGTTTTTGAATTATTTAATCAGAAAACGAAATGGGAGAAAGAGAATGTTTGCGAATTTTCGGAATGTTTAGTTGGGCGGTATCGGCAAGATTGCTCAATTACACACATTCCTTGCCACTTTCTTCACCCACGTATTTTTTTCGTATTTTCTTTATTGTTTCAACCATTTTATTATTAATAATTAATGATTTCCAATGATTTTATTTAAACAAAAAAAAAAAAAACGATATTTATTAAAGCAACATTAATCTTAGTTTATTTAGCACCATTTATTTTTAAATTCAATTCGATTATGTTATTTATTGAATGTTATGGTTTATTTTTTAATTTAATTAAATTTCACCTTTCACAAAATAAAATAAAAACGAACACATTTTTGTTTTACTATTAGTTTCATTCTTTATTTTTCAGTTTTGGTTTGGCGTTGTTTCTAATTCACTTGGTGTTTTTATTTTCTTCCATTCTTTGTTTTTGTTCTTATCATTTCTTTATCTTTTTCTTGAAACACTTTTCATTTTGTATCGGGTCAATGATGCACATGCACTTTAGTCACAGAGTTGGTGGTGATTTATTTTAATAGAAGAAAATAACCAATCGGGCATGTTGTAATGATAGCAAATCATATATCATGCGTTTCAATTCGTATATTGTTTGCCGACGGCACTAATATCCAGTATTACGATTACGATGTTATGATACCAGACACAAGTAGTTCCACGAACATTTTTCGATTTTTTTAAATACAAGGAAGATGGAAATTCGTGTTTGGCTATCAATTTTTTTTTTGTTTTTTGTGGGGCAACATTTCATAATTAGGTTTAGTAAACGTCACATCGTCGTGTATCGACTTGAAAATGCTGCACATAAAATGTCATTTATTGATGACAAGCACATTTATTGAATATTTACACATTTCGGATAGTTTTTTTTTTTTTTTTGAATGAAGAAGTCTGCATTCACTTTATAATAGATAAAATAGTATATTAAGAATTTTATTGAACTCTTCGAATGACACTGAACACTGATTTGTGCAAAAACGGATATGTCCATAAAAAGAATGGATAATGAATTTGGCGATAGTTTTCGTAACTGAATGGACAAAATTAAACAATTTGAATCAACGTAAATTCATCGAATGTTGTTTGTCTTGTCGCTGCCTTATTATTTGCATAACATTTTCTTATCTTATCTCCAAATGATTTTTACTTTTACCTTTCCAAATCTGTTCCGATTGTTTTTTTTTTTTTTTTTTTGAATTTGAACGATCTTCATTTCTTCTTTTGTTTATCGCTCAAAATGTAGAATTTTTATTTGCATTTTCCAAAAAAAAAAACCTGAATTTCATTTTGATTTCGGTGAAAACCTCATTTGACAAAAATTCATGTAAGCCTTCTTTCTCTCTTCTTCCTTTTTTTGTATTTGCTTCTGAATCGTGCGCGCATGAAAAACAAATAATATTCCGGATGACAAACAAAAAAATCGAAATGAAAAATACCAAAAATCAAACAAAATGTGTCCAGTTGCAGTTATCAAGGCCAAATAGTGCAGCTGCAGCAGCAATTAGCGAACGCACGCTAGAAGAATGCTGGTCAACCCTTCAACGAGTGAGTTGGCATCTCTTCCGTTGTGTATAGTACTCTTCCACACGACTTTTGAAATCAAAGATAAACCGAAGATTTTGAAAATCTTAAAAGAAATTATCACTTCTGTTTCCATACATCATTTTTTTTCGTTGTTTTTTTTTTGTTTTTCGTTTCCATTTTTATTCATGTGAAACAACAATTTTTGGTTTGAAACGATTTCATTTGTCCGATTTGTCGATTGGTTTGGAGTTGTGGAAATGTTGTTGACTTTTGCAGTTTGTGTGCGTTTGAATCTTTATTTTGTTGTTCAATTTTTGGTAGTTCGATATTCATACAAAAACAAAAGGTGTATTTTTTGCATTGAACAAATATTTTATGCAACAAAAAAGCGATTATTCCAATAGAAATGCGTAAGTATGTAATTTATATTCAACCTTTGAGAAAAATATTATTTAAAAAAAAAAATTGTTGTTGTAAGTTATTTTCGGTCAGTAGCTCTCAGATAAGCAATGACTTCAAAATTTCGGCTAAGAAATTGACTTAGAATTAGGGAAATTCGAAAATTAACTCTTACACAAAAGGAAATGTACTGAAAAAGGCCAACATATTTATCTGCGGCTGTTTATCGTTCAAAAGGTATGCGGGCGGTGCCAAAAACTGATTTCGAACGAATCAAAGGCATTGAAGTTTAATTACCTAATTGTATGTGGTACAATGGATCTATGATCTAAACAAGAATTCATTATTGCATCAATGAATGGGCACGAAATTGGCTCGCGGCAATCAAATGAACGGAAATCAAAAGAAGCGCGTTAAATATGACGCGTACGACACGTACCCGCCTGAAATGAGCAAAATAACAAACGGCCACACCGAGTTGGCACAATATTAATGAGAGTATATAGATATTCGCTATAATTCCCATAAATATCAAAAGCTGATTAAATTTAAACCGTATTGCATTTTTCAGCAATCATTCATTTTCATTCGATGTCGAAAAATCATAATGAAAATCCATGTCATATCACCCTTTCTCCGCCATTTCAATATATATATTATGAGACAAAGAGAGGTTCGCTGATTATGTACAGCATCCCAAGTTAAACATCTTAAAATCAACAAACACTTATTCATCCAATAAAATGGACTTTTTAATTTCTGCCATACAAAATTACTGCACGGTGTGTATTACTTTAATTTGATCAAAAGGATTAATCGGAAGGCGATAAATAAGTGACGAGTGTTTCTTTCCTTTTTCCTAATACGATTTTCTAGCAGTAAAACCAAGTAAAACAAAACAAAAAGAAGACAAGAAAAAAACGATGCGAAGAAAATCGGTTTTCATTTGAATAATTGTTAGATATTCGTTGATTAGATACTTTTGAATGGATTTTACATCACATACTCGTACATAAAAAAACAACCGAACTATAATCAGGAGGAAAAAAAACTCCTTTTTCATTTACTACACTCATTCCCGTTATATTTCAAAGTCATAAAAAACCCGAATGATTTTCTCTTTTAACATCTTACACAACCTGAACGACGACGATGCGGATTACGATGAATAAAAATCACTTATTTTGATACTGTATGCTCTTTCCTCAAGACAAACTCGCTTTTGTTTGTTCCTGTTCAAGATTTATGTTTACGCGATATGCAACCCTTTAATATATATGTGTAAGTTTCCCTATAGCATAACTCCAAAAGATTTTGGAGCACATTTTATGCGTACGGCATTTCGGTACGGCGAAAAAAATTAAAGAAAAGAATTACATATATAGATGTACCTTAATCACTCCGCACAGCGAATTTGAGAAATGAAATTCAAGAAGATGATTGATGACATACACACAACTGTACCAGTTGTTTTGCCTGCCTCTCCGATTCGAGTGAAAATATTTATTTGTTTTTTTTTTTGCTTTCCTGTTTTGGAAAAGGGTTAACATACACATGATCTTATGTGAATCGAATTTGAGCTCAGTCACTAGGTGATTTTTCTCGCTTCTTCCTTACTCCAAGTCATCTTGTTTCATTTAATGAACAAAAGAAACGTGCCACAAACTTCTTACTTTAGTTTCTTGTTGTTATAACGATTTCACATTTTTCATTGTATTAAATCAGATTGAATGTCATTCATATGTACTGATTGAGAATATTAGAATAATGAATTTCTTACAAAAAAAAAATCCAATCGATCGATTTCAATTTCAAAGAGAAAAACGTGCCTTGAAACAAAAAATAAATAAATTCCGTCTTGTTTAAAGTGAGACGCTGTTCTTAAATTCGTCCTTCAAATTGTAGTGTGTGTATCGTCGTTGATTCGTGTATTTTTCTTATTTTTTCTGTGTAAAAGAAAAGAAACGGTACCACGATGTGGCACATATAAAAAAGGATTGTTGCGCAAGGAGTGATTTCACGATGTGCGCGTGGCTAGCGAATGAGAGGGTTCTTTAGCAAGACCAATAGTGGCGATTGAAAAATAGTAACACTCTTTTTTTTTCATTATTCCTCTCATTTTAATAAAGCTGTGGTGTTTGTTGGACGTGCATGTACACACCAACCCGAACAGTTCTTTCCATGTCCGTTTCGACTGCTGGACACGGTTTTGAATATTTTATACTGCGTGCACGTTTTTTTCTCAGCGTTTGGCTTACATTTCATAATTCAATTACATATATATCACCATATTGATGGTGGAGAGCAATATAAAATAGTACCATAAGGAATAAAACGACATATGAATGTAATAAGAAATCCAATTTGAGCGTGTGTGTTCAAACTTCGAGAACCGAGTTTTTTTGAATATTCAAATTGATTAATCATATAAAACTTCAAATAAATGTCATCGACAAAAAAAGGATAAATTATCCAATATGGTGCATAAATGTATCATTTCAATGAACTAGCTGTCGAACGTAGCCGAATGTCCCCGAATGTGTTGTGTGCTTTGGTGTTTGTTTTTTTCATCTTCTCTAGAGAGCCACAATGATTTCTTTCCAACTGGCTGCTTTACATAGTTGAGGCGCATACGAACTGAAGGTAGTTATGCGCCAGCGACACACAGCGTGCTTAAGAATTGCACTTGGCATTCATGGACAACAGCTATATTTTGCACTCTATGCTCTGTCGTTAGATTTTTTTTTCTGCTCTGCTGCTGCTGCTATTGCTGTTGCTTTTGTTGTTGCTCTGTGGAAAAAATGTGGATGGATATTATGTACCTCGAGTGCGAACGTACGGGCGTGTTGTTTATTTGCCTACATACTTTGGCGCGTTCGCTTCTTTTTCTCTTTCTCACTCTCTCGCAGTGAAAGAAGAAAATGCATAAAATGACTACACACAGAGCCAGAGCACGAAAAAAAAGAAGAAAGAACTGCACGAATGGATGAATAGATCGAGGCGAAAAAAAAAAGTTGAAATAAATAAATGAAGAAAATAACCAACCAAAAACTACACACAGGGCTACATGCAGACACACACATAGTATATATAAGTCGTCCTGAACATGCCCAGCTCAAACTGAAACACGAATCATCGTAGAAAAATTGTTTTTTGGTGCATAAAACGAAACGCCAAACATTGAATTGAAAGCAGGGATATGCGCATTCACTCGCTGAAGCGCTCTGTTGCCTTTACAGTTACTGCCTTTAATTTTTGTTTTTGTTTTCTAAAACTTTCATCGTCGTCCTAGTCGTTGCTTGCTTGGTAAATTTTTTTTAACACTTTCATTTTACGTGCATTGTATTCATTACGTTCGCAAAATTAAAAAAAAAAAAACATTCCGAACTTAATCTATCAGTTGGTAAGCACAATACATTCCAGTCAAAAGGACCTTGGCACTCGAAACTATGCAAAGCAACCGAGAAAAATATATAACGAAAATCACTATTGCGCTAGATGATTATCACTTCGATAATTTTATTATAAAGCCATTCTCATGCAATCTCACGTTATCTGGGACACACGATCGAAATTCACGACTTGTTTCATCAAACCTTTTTTTTGCAGACGGATAACACAAACTTGAGTAACAATTTTCAGAAATCGTGCCATGTTCGGGCCAAAAGTATGTGAGTTGATTAAATGCAAAAGCCGTTCATACTCGCTGTATAGAAATTTTCAAACCCCCTTTTTATAGATATAATTTGACCACGATGCTTCAGCGTATTAAATTGAAATATTGATTCAATATTGACAAAATGTTGAATTCTTCAAATTGCATATTTAATCCAAATGATCTGTGTACGCCTATGAAATTAAAATGTCATTAGATGAAGAATTTCACGTTCAAAAAAAAAAAAAAAAAACTAAGAAAAACTGCTGGCTATTTCGAGCGTCAAAACAATCAAGAAGTCATCATAACACATGTCATTCGAAAAATATCGAAATATCCCCCATTTAACATAAAAAATGAACATTGAAAATAATGGAAGACATTTTTACTCATAAATAGCCATTTACATAATTTCAATCTGAATTTAAATAATTTGATCATAAAAAGCTAAATAAATATCGTAATTCGTTCAACTGACCAGAAATTATATTATTCATGAATAAATTTTTCGCCATTTCATTGGAACTTGAGTTAATTTTCCTGAACATTTTACCATTTATTTCCAATGCCTTCAGTATACGAATTTTAATTTCATGCAAATAGTTCCTAAACGAGCGGTGACAATTTGAATAGAAAATCTAGTTGTCAATTTATTTCAAGTAATAATCTTACGTAATTGACAACACAATGGGGATGAATCGATCATATACCCGTCTATTGTTTTCATTTCATTTGGATTGTGTCTTAAGTCTGAGGTCTTATTGATCGTTTTGTGTGGCAAAAGAAAACAAAATGCCGAGAAATAGAGATCGTTTATCGTATTCGAGTGTCCTATCCGATGCAATACAATGAGATGTGTGTGCGAAAAAGTGAGCCACAAAATGGTCATTAACCTCTAGTTAACTAGTTTAAATAAAATGCGAGAGCGAAAAAAAGGCAACAACAAAAGCATTTTATTCTCTGTCTCTGTTGTGGATATTCTCGTATGCGC